TGAGGTCAAGTGCAACAACTATGCCTAAGTTATTTCCATATCTTCAGCACCTAACACAGGGTCTGGTATGTGTAGTTCAGTTCAGTAGCTCAGTCGTGTCCGACTCTTTGCAATCCCATTGACTGCAGCACGCCAGGCCTCCCTGTCCATCACCAACTCCCGGAGCTTACTCAAACTCATGTCCATTGAGTCAGTGATGCCATCCAACCATCTCATCCTCTGTCCTCTCCTTCTGCTTGCCTTCATTCTCTCCCATTTCAAATGAGTCAGTTCTTCTCATTAGGTGGTCAAAGTATTAGAGTTTCAGCTTTAGCGTCAGTCCGTCCAGTGAATATTCAGTACCGATTTCCTTTAGGATTGACAGGTTGGCTCTCCTTGCAGTCCAAGGGACTCTCAAGAGTCTTTTCCAACACCATAGTTCAAAAGCATCAATTATTCAGCATTCAGCTTTCTTTAAGGTCCAACTCTCACATCCAAACATGTCTAGATGCACAGTAAATGTTATATGTATGGATGGAGAGTTAGAGGGATGATATGTTTATGTTAATCATTACTATTGAAATATTTGATGATTTTCCATTTTCAGTGAGAAAGAAGCAGTGTTGCAGAAAGCAGTTTTGTAATCAAGGTGAATTATTTTTAGCTGTGTGACCTTGAGCAAATTATTATTCATCCATGCTAAGCTTCAATATTGTCATCTAAAAAATAGGAAAGAGATGAAGTAATTCATATAAAACACTAAGTTCAGCACGAAGTGGCTCTTGCTCAAAATGGCAGTTTCTATTTTTCAATGGAAAAGTAAGCTAATTAATTGAGAAAAGGTCATGTTTTGGATGGTTTGGATTTTCAAAGTTAAAAATATGTTTAAATTTGATGTGTTTAAAAGTAGGAGGCTCTGAAAAGTTTTGTGAGCTTGAGGAAAGTATAATTTTTCAAAGACTAAGGAAGGGCAAATTAGAAGGGGAAAGAATGTGGTCAGAAGAGGGGAAAAAACAACAGTCTATTGTAGCTATCCAATATGAAACAGCTTGTCTGAATTCAGAACCCAGCTATACCATGACTAAGTGTACAACTTTGCAAATTTTATTCACTTATCTGGGCCTCAGTGTGTGTTTGTTTTTTTTAAGATTTTATATTCATAGAGTAGTTTAGTGTCATAGCACAATTTAAAGGAAGGTGCGGAGGTTTCCCATGTTCCCTCTACCCCCACATACGTGTGATCTCCACCGTTAATTCCATCCCACATCAGAGTGGTATATCTGCTACAATTGATGAACCTATGCTGACACATCTTTATTAGTGCTGGTCCATAGTTTGGGTGTTGTTATGTTTAGAGATTTGGACAAATGTTTCATTACGTGTATAAGTCATCAAATACCACACAAACTTTTTCATTTCCCTACAGATCCTCTGTCCTCCGTCTATTCATCCCTTCCACACCTGCAACCCCTGTGGCAACCATTCATCTTTTTACTCTTCCCATAATTTTATTTTTTAAGAATGCTATATGGTTGGAATCATACAACAGTAGCCTCTTTCAGATTGGCTTCTTTCATTTACTAATATACATTGAAGGTCTCTCTGTGTTTTTTCCTGGTTTGATAGCTCATTTTTTTTAGCACTAGATAATACCCCCTTTTCTAAGTATGCTATTGTTTATTTATCCCTTCACCAACTGAAAGGCATCTTGATTGCTTCCAAGTCTTAGAAATTATGCATGGAGCTGCTATAAAAGGTGTATGCAGGTTTTTGTGTGGACATAGTTTTCAACTTCTTTGGAGTGAGATTTCTTTGGAATGAGATACCATGGAGTGAGATTTGCTGAAATGTATGGTAAGCATTTAGCTTTGTTTCACGAGATTTTAGTATCACATTACAGAGTTTCCTTAGGATTAATGAGATAATCAATATAAATTGCTTGGCAGAGTACCTGGCATATGGTAAGGGCTCACTCAATGTTTATTACCTCTGCTGTTATTATTAATGTTATCTAGGAAAAGTTGATTTAAAAAACTCAGTTCATATGACAGTATGGATGGAGAAGTTGGTACAGAATAGAGAAATGTCAGAGAAAAAGTGTAAAAACATTTGATGATTAACTCCATACAAGACAGCTGCAGCTACTGCAGTCCTAGATCTTCAGGATGCCCTTGTCTCACACTTGAAAGAGAAGAAAATACGCCACTTCCTAGGTCTGCACACTCTCTTTGGACTAATTAAGAAGGGTCATGTCAGGTAATTATAAGTAATGGTTATGTAATACTCCAGATAAAGAAGAGGATTGCTGAATGTACTCCAACTCTGAACCATACATAAATGCCAGGTCAAAATGGTATAGTGGAAAACCACTGGAAGTCTAGTCTGGAGAGCTGTATTCACAACATACCTCACTATGGGTTATGAGCTTTGTGAACTTGAACTTTTATCTTGGTAATTCAGTTTCCTCAGCCATGAAATGGAAATGAGACTCCCTCACTTGTTATTGAGAGAGTAGATAAGATAATGAATATGAAAATAGTGCCTGGAATTTGCGAGAAAGTTAATAAATGTAAGACTAATCTTAATACATGGAGTCACTAAATAGCTTGTTCAGCGTCAGTGCCATGATAGTAAATTAAAAATGCAAAGTCATCCGTCACCAGTATCATCTTGACTAATATCTGTCATTGGTTATGAACACATGATTGTTTCAGTGAATTTATAGATTCACATTTTCTTTTATTCACTAGGCATAAAAGCATATTTATTCTAGAGAGTTTTGATGGCAAAATACATAGCAGAAAGCCAAAAAACAAAGTTTACTTATAATTTTACCATCTGGAGATAAGAAATGTTAAAATTATAAATTATTTTCTTCTGAGCGTTTTTCTTTCTGCAGATAGTAAGTTAAACCTCTAGAAAAATAATCCAGATATATGTTTCATTTAAAAAATGGTATGATGTTAAATTTACAGATTTGATTAATATTTTGTCTTACGATATTCATAAGTATTCATGTGTTCATGCTAAGTCCCTTCAGTCATGTCCGACTCTTTGCAACCCTTTGGACTATAGCCCTCCAGGCTTCTCTGTCCATGGGATTCTCCAGGCAAGAATACTGGAGTGGGTTGCCTTGCCTTCCTCCAGGGAATCTTCCTGACCCAGGGATCAAACTCACATCTCTTGTCTCTCATTTATTGGCCAGCGAGTTCTTTACCACTAGCGCCATCTGGGAAGCCCTATTCATGAATATTGGATTAGTTTTAAAAAGCAGTGCAGGATCTTTGTTACTCTCTTCTTTTCTCCATCAAAACTATGCAGTTTATATGAAGAAAATTTTGTTTTCTATGCAAGTGTTTATTGTTTTCTTGTTGCTTATTTCCATTCTCCACTTGAATAATATACTCAGATAATATCAGCATTTAAGCAAGCAGCAATCAAAGGAGAAAACATTTATCTGTAATGGCAGTCAAATGAAACAACGAACTCTTTCATCTTGATTCTAAACTCTAAGTCTGCTCCGAGGTTTTTGAACCATCCACTTGGTTTGAAGCCACTCAGAGAATCAGCAAAATAAGTGGTTTGAAGCACGCAAAAATATAAACCCTAAGCCTTTCCCAGCTTTGCATAATCATCATATTCATTTACTTTTTACTAAATTTGCCTTTGTGAAAGTTAGGTTAACCAAAACTGTCTCTCCATTTTTGTTTTCTTTTTGATATTCTGACAGTGCTTTCCCAGTCTAGTGTCAAATTTTCCCAAATACTTAACACATTTGACAGCCATCAATTTTATTAAAGAACCACTGTAAAGAATTTAATAATAATATGGATATGTTAAAATTATTTAAAAATATTTATTTGTAAGTTGGAGTAACAGAATAGTTCAATAGGTGTTTTTGCCTTCTTTTTTAACAATCTTTATTTTGTCTAAACACACTACCTAATGATAGAAATACCCACATTACTTAATCTCTGATCCCAGTTTGGGGAAGAAAGCCATTGACAATTACTCCAAAGTGTCATTTGTAATGGAGAAAGGATTACCCCAGAATATGTTGTTGTTGTTTAGTTGCTAAGGCATGTCCAACTCTTTTGTGACCCCATGGACTATACCCGGCCAGACTCCTCTGTCCAGGGGTTTCCCAGACAAGAATACTGGCTTGGGTTGCCATTTCCTTCTCCCAGGCATGTTGCCGATCCAGGGATTGAACCCCTGTCTCCTCCTTGGCAGGCAGATTCTTTACCACTGAGTCACCTGGGAAGCCCTCCAGAATACATTACCTGTGTTCATTTGTTGAAAATAAATACTAATTGAGCACCCACTATGCCTTAGACACTAGGATGTTAGCAGTGAAGTCAATTGAAGTCCCAGTTTACATGGAGCTTACGTTTCCGAATGAAAAACTGAGCAATACATAAATTAAGAGGAGAATCTTAGATAATGTTATCAAGTCTTAGATGCATTTATTATTTTGTAGGATACAGTTGTATTCTCTTTCTTCATCCTATTAAATAAGTAAACTTCTTAATCTCTAAATAGTATTTTTTTAAAGAATTTTAGCTTGGTGTTGATGGTGGCTGTGTTTTCTTCATGATGTAGTACACTCAGTCTAAACTTTGTGATATGGAGTGAGACTATAAGATCTTCAGAGTTGTTCACAAAATTAGCAAAGTTTAAATTATTCCGTATTATCAATATGTTATCATACTAATGTTAAATTCAGTATGCTATATCTGATACATTCTGAAATATATTTTATACTCTCATCTCTACAGTGTATTATAATAATATGTGTATGTTAAGTATCATGGACTAGCATTTCTTCAGAGTTGGAATGAGGTTGATTTAATGACAGCAATGTATGTGTACATAACAGCAATGTAGAGTCAACTAGGCCACTTTTTTTTCTGTTCCTTACACTCAAAAGTTTATATTTTGATTTTTTTTTTTCTTCCTGCTGGAATACATTTTTTAAAAATCTGGTATATGCCTTCAAATTTTTTTTATTCCCCTTTCAGGAATTTGCTGCTCTGACAAAAGAATTAAATGCTTGCAGGGAACAACTTTTAGAAAAGGAAGAAGAAATTTCTGAACTTAAAGCTGAAAGAAACAACACAAGAGTAAGTATAAAACTGCCTCTGCTTGGAAGTAATTCCATAGTTCAGTGTCTTATTTCTAATACATTCATAAAAATAGAAGCCTTTAAAAACTTCAGAAAGACTTCATGCAGACACCAACTCATTGTCTGTTACTTAGAGTAAAAGAGAATATACTACAAAACTCAGAGCGGGAAGACAAGAAACCGAAATTACAGCCTTCCCTACTAAATCACGGTGTTGCCTTAAAAAATGTTAGTGTTTATCCTGACCTTTGCTTTATTTGACTTTAAAAGGAAGAGTGCCATTTCAGTAGTGAGTTCCAGGCTGTTTTGCAGTGGAGTAGATGGGTCATGCTTCAGAGACTGGGAGTGGGTCGGATGGTCGGGTCATAGGCTTGAAAGGGGAGCATGATTTTGCCTTCTGGGTACTAGGAGGAAATGGCCTGACCTTCATCCTCACCTCACCCCGGAAAAATAATAATTTTTTTTAAAGATATTAAAAACATAAATTCACTGAAAGATGACTCTCCTAATTAAAAGAGGCATACCTTTTCTATTTTAGAAGCTCATGAAGGAGACTTCCAGTTATGATATTTTTATTTCATGAACCTGATGGAAATTACAGTATTCTGCTCTTGAAAACCCATGTATTTGTTTAATCACATGACCTTATTTTCTAGTTCAGAAAAAAACTTTACTAAATTTCAGACTGTGTAAACTGTCATATAGCTCATAAATGAGAGGAGTTTTTCTAGTAAAATAATGTAAAGTAAAACCACTTTGGTGTGACTGTAGTTCAATTTCAATATGAAGTAAGTGAAAATATTTGAAGTGTTAAGAGTTCTGGCAGATTAATACTGAGAAAGTAAGGTACGTTAATTGTGTATTCATTGTATGCTTGGTCTTAGATAGTAATATAAAAATGACAACTCAATATTGTAAGACAAAGCATGAATAAAGCTGGAAAACATTTTCTTCTGCCTTTCTAAAAGCAATGATGTGGAGGATTTTTGTTGTTAATTACATCAAGGAAAATGGATTTATGAAGTCTTCCTTGTGCAAACCTATTGATTTATATATAACAACTTAGTTACATAATCACCTCCCCCACCACCTCAAAAATATCAAGGTCTTAAAATCAGAAAATCTTTTCTCTTCCCCCATAATGCCCTATTAAATGTTGCTAAGTATAAGATTTTTGAATAGATTTATATAATAGTTTCTCCTTCTATGTGGTATATTTTTCTTATTGCTATAAACGCCCACTTACTGGTCATGGAGAGAAAACAACAAGGGACTGTGATCTCACACCCAAAGAGAATTTTTTATTAGATTGTGGGAAAGAGTAGAATTGAGTGTCTCAATTTCTAGGGTCCTGATAAGCTTGTGACTCTCTTTCCACATTGAGAGGTTAACATATGCTCACAAATTGAAATATATAACACATAAAGAGAATTCATAAGTGGATGGAGGTTTTGTTGTTAATTTTGAGTATCAGCAAAAACAATAGATCAAAAAGGTATGATATTTGAGTGAATTATATCTGTTCTTAAATAGAAAATAGAATTTTCAGAGGAAGATGAATGAATAAATTTTTTCTTGTATATCACACAGTAATAATGATAATAATATAGTAACATATTAATTAAACATGAAATGTCTTTCTCGATGTTTTACCTGTTTAACTCACATTATCCTTACAGCAATCCTATTGTCCCCATTTAACTGATGAGAAAACTAACACAGTAACTTGCCCCAAGACACACAGCTCGTAAGTGACACACCCAGACTCCGCTCTGTGGCTTAAGCAAAGGCTATATATTTTAAAAAGCATATTCCTGTTACTCACAAGTAATGTGTGACTTAAGGGATTATCTCTAGGTAGGAGCAGAGTTTGTTCAATTTCTTGTAATTCAGTCCCAATCTGTTTAGTAATCTATTTTCTCTCAGTTGTGTGGAAAGGAATGTGCTAGGTATTTATTCTGATGTCAAAAGCTGTGGCCATTTATCATTTTGTCACTACAGATAAACCTGATCCTTAAACCCAAAATAAAAGTGTACAAGAAAAAAACAAAGTAATCACTAGAGCTGCTCTTAAACCCAACTGCCTCAAGTAATTAAATTGAGAAAATCCAAATAAAGTCATCTTACTGTTATTCATGATTGTACAAAAATAAAAACTTCAAAAATTGTAGTGCATATTTACAGAAACATTCCAAAATCTTTATTGTTTAATGTTTCCACACTAAAAAGAATGTAGCAAAAAATAATGAAACAAAATTTGTTATTTCTGAAACTTCTCTAACCATACCCAGGAAAGTTGTTTTTGTAGAAAACAGCATTCCTGCCATTATTTCAACATATTGAAATCAACTGCTGAAAATTACCATATTTTTGCAGAATTATTTGAGTTAATGAAAGGGTGAGGGAAAAATAGAAATATTGATATAGTTATTATTTCTTAATACAAGAGTAGAAAAGTTTTGTTGTTTCATTTTTGCTGTTTGTTGTTTTAACTGCTCTGGTACCTGAAGAGCTGAAAGATGACTTATTAACAATGTTTCAGAATGCAACTAGGAGAAGGCAATGGCACCCCACTCCAGTACTCTTGCCTGGAAAATCCCATGGACTGTGGAGCCTGGTAGGCTACAGTCCATGGGGTAATGAAGAGTCAGACACAACTGAGCAGCTTCTCTTTCACATTTCACTTTCATGCATTGGAGAAGGAAATGGCAACCCACTCCAGTGTTCTTGCCTGGAGAATCCCAAGGACGGGGGAGCCTGGTGGGCTGACGTCTATGGGGTCGCCCAGAGTCGGACACGACTGAAGCGACTTAGCAGCAGCAGCAGCAGAATGCAACTATTGCGTGACTTGGAAAGAGAAGTTAGGGTTTCAAGAACTAGTCTTAATGTTAGTCATGAATAATGACACTATAATTTCATTTCACAGGTCATAAACTAAAAAAAAAAAGACAATCATCCTTAGTTTAAATTAAAGACTGAGTTTGAAACATTCCTTACTATGCCCTTACTTTTGTTTTGAACCAAAAGAATTACATTAAATAAATGTTCAAATGCAATCAGACACTAAAGAAAAGCTTCCCATTCTTGATAAGCCTGTCTGTACAAATTAAAATCCCTCTAAAGTTATTTTCTTGAGGAGTAGAAATTACAATCCAATTGAGAAAAGCAAGAGCCTAGTAGTTAAAAGCAGGTAAAATATGTGTGTGTTGGGGTTCATGTATATTTTTTATGAAGTGCTACAATAGGATATGACAAATACAGAAGTGAGTAAGGTACAACGTATGTTCTCCCTACAGCTATTCAATGTGGGACTCAAGCATGTGCATAAAACACATTGTTGTTTAGTCACTAAGTCATGTCCAACCCTTTTGCGACCCTATGGATCATAGCCCACCAGACTCCTCTGTTCATGGGATTTCCCAGGCAAGAATACTGGAGTGGGTTGCCACTTCCCTCTCCAAGGAACTCTTTTTTTAATGTGAAAAGAAAACAAGATCCTGTAGGGTATCTAAGCCATGTTTGAGAGTAAAGGATACTAAGTGGACTAATTAAGAAAGCAATCGATTTGAATGTTTTCATTTTCAGATGTTGCTATTGTGTTATTTGACTGTATTACAGAGGCCAAATTAATTTACAGGGCAGAATACATTTCTACTTGAATACTATATGTGACTGAAGATAATTTCACACAGGGTGATATTGTAGAAAGACTTATAGTTTTACAAATTTAGTTTAAAAATTCTAAGTGAGGCAATATGTGTCTATGGATGTAGGATTTGATATGTTTGTGTGTATACATATCTAGGCTGTGGTCATTTTAAGTGAATTCCAACAGAAATTAATGGCCACTCACATAGTCCCTCCAGCCCTTAGAGTGTACGCCAAAAGGTGCCTTCTGCAAGATTCATTAAACATTAGACTAAAGATTTATTCCTAGCAAAGGTGTACAAAGTAGTACTGTTAGTGGCATCTTAGGTAAGTTCCTTTTTATTTGTAATATGTTTTCATTTGAAGCTTAAAAGCCATAGACACCTTCTAGATTAGAACATTTTTTGGCCACATTCTCCAAGATAGATAATTTACATGCATTACTACTTCAGTTTAATAAGTATTAAGCCTCTATTATATAGAATATTTTTCTAGGCATCAAAGAGTGTTCAGAATAGTTAAATTGTCAGACCCTTAAGAAGTCTGGTTTATATCACTAAAAACACAACCGTTTTTGTTATTATATGGATGAGAGTTCCCAATTGCACAAAACAGTACAGTTTGCCATTTTAATCAAGAAGGCTTTAATTAAAGCTATGAGAAACGTCTAAACTGACCTTACGTGCACAATTTCTAGGACCACATTTCTTAGTTTTGTAAGTTTTTCTTCCATCCCAAGTCCCAGAAACACGCAGCCTCTGCTAATACCTGTACCAGCAAGAGGGATGGCCCTTACCCAGCGTGTTTCCTCACCTGATTCCCCTCAGAATCTCTCCTGAGCAGGGGGCCGGCTCTTAAGTCACATGTCTGCCATCTGGTGGTAAACACGCCTGAGACGTGTTTCTTGGATTGTCCGTTGGAATGATGGCATTCAGAATGTGCCTATTTAATGGGACCTATTTAACATGGAAGATATATTCAAAAGATTTGAGGCCACCTGAGATGTCAGTCTGCATTACCACCCACATTTTATCATACTTGTTTTCGTATTAAAATTCCAAAAAGCAGCAATACTGATATGTACCTACCCAACAATACAAATAGACTTCTTAGGCAAAAATAAAATCTCCTTTTCACAGAAAAGGAGATTCATAGTCTCTTGTTACTGTATTCAGCTACATGCCTATGGTTCTTCAGTGCACAGTTATGCTCTCATTAAATATCAATATTATCTTAACATTTTGTAGCCTATGAACTACTTAGGTATTCATCAGAATTAATACCAGATAGGTTCAGTTCAGTCGCTCAGTCATGTCTGACTCTTTGCGGCCCCATAGTCTGCAGCACACC